TAGACGCTGATATTCTAGGCGAGCAATGATTTATCTTTCGATGCCCGTGGCTTTTTCTCAACTACATTTACACGAGTCAGAACAATATAAGATTCCATTAAAAGTCACAATTCATACGTATAAAATTCGCCTTTAGGAGAATATTAGGAGAGACTGTAATGTCGACATGCCATTAATAATGCTCGCGTTATCACTAATTATTTTGAAATTTATCCGATATCAAATGCAAAAACTCCGACGAGTGAAAGACAAGCGAATACAAATTTTCTAAACTCTTATATATTTCTTTACTTATATGTGTATAAGAAAATTATATTTTTTTTGCTGATGTTTATAAAAATATCAGAATATATATATATATATATATATATATATATATATATATATATCAGAATAATAAAAATAATAAAATGAGGACATATTACATCGTAAGCTTACATCGTTACTGAAGAATAGACTTATGATCAAGACCTTTATACCCACTAACTGTACTCGGGAGAATAAAATTCATAATAATTCAAGTAACGTCATTATATGATATTATCAACTGCCATTACTATCAAGATTAAAATACTTTTTTTTTTTTTTTGGTTTTTTTTGGTTTTTTTTTTTTCATCTGTACTAACGTTTCGCCAACTGCCCATAATTTTCCAAATGCAATCCTCTCGTTTGTGCCGTGAATTTCTATTTCGCTGTCGATTTCAATCTGTATGCTGCATGTTGCATCCACTCTCCGTCTGGCTTAAAAAAAAATTCAGGACTTCATTTGCAACACAAACATTTATGATCTCCCATCGTTATGTTCTCAATAAATATTTCGTTTTGCATATCTGTTCGCATGGACGTTTTATCTTAATTTCCCACCGCAATGAACTAGTGAGTAAACAGTCCAATAAATTGTTACGAATAACATGCAATAAAGAAATGTCCAAGGCGATTGACAATCTCAATGTAAATTATATAATGTGACTTTTTATGTAATAAACCTAGACACTGACAAAGCTGTGCATTGTGTGCAGATGAGAGATTTTTCGAGTACAAATTTTAATCTACTTCATTCGAATTCTTATAGTTTCTTTGGCCTTTCTCTCTCTGTCTGTCTGTCTGTCTCTCTATCTATCTCTCTCTCTCTCTCCCTCTCTCTTAAATATGATTCCTACTTTACACGATAAGACGAGGTTAAGTATTTAAATGGAAATTAAAAATACTATTTCATTAAATTTTCACAAATGTTTCTATTTAATGGAAATATTTAACAAGTCGATTTGTCATTTTTCAATGTAATAAATATTTTTAGAAATGAATCTAACGCTAATAAAAGTATAAAAATTTTCTACAACGGATTTTTGTTGTCGAAAATATAGCGGCATTATTGAACTTCGCTGATAAATGATTACATTTCTGCTTTTGTGATAAGCCCGCCGATAATCACAGTTATTCTGTAATAATGTAAAGTCGTCGAGCCTAAATATTTTAATCCATTAATTTATAAATAAAATACAAGCCAAGTTTCATATTAAATTTCTCCCACTATGTATTGTTTTGCATTTGAGTATAAATTCTAGGATACATCGATAATTTATTAACTACTTAGGAATTTTAAATTATCATATCATATTACAACGCTATCACTCTTCCCCCCCCTCTCTCTCTCTCTCTCTCTCTCTCTCTCTCTCGCAGCTATAGTCAGGTATCTTTGCACGATACACGTTGCCATTGCCGCCCTTAAATTCAATTTATTTGCAGTTGTCTTTCCTTATTCTATTATCGACGCTTTGGCGATTCTCACGCTATCCCCGAGCCACCTTTAACTCCACGATAACCGCAGCTCTCCATTCGATGCGATGCTACATCCCAGAGTGTCAGCACTTGCCTCTACTCCTCTTTGCCCCCCTCCCCCCTCCCTCACCTCCCTCCGACGACTTCATTCCACCCCGCCCGAAGAAAGATCGTTAACGAGGAGGAGGGCTTATCGCAGCCGTAAAAAAAAATTACGTATTAGCTGAGGACCTGGTTTGGCTTCGTTTCGCAAAGATCGCCCAGAGCCCAAAAGCCTGGAAAACGCTGCGCAGGGAAAAAGGGCGAGAAAGGAGCAGCACGCGAGGGACAGAGACGTAGCATCATGCAGAACATGTTCTCGGACTCGTTGCAGGTCTGTTTGGCGGCTAGTGTGCGGCGGCGGTAGGCCGCTCCTCCC